ATGATATCACAACGTATATGCGAGTGTGCTAAGCAAATCTCCGATCGACTTGCGACCTTTCAACATCCAATCTTAGTGGATGACCTTGTTGATGCTATTTTGGATGGTCTTGGTGCTAATTATAGACCATTCACATGCAACATTGAAGCTCGCCTATAACTAGTAACCTTTGATGACTTATTTAGCTTACTACTAAGTGAAGAAACCTATATGAAAAAAGAAAGAGATGTCTCCCACACGAGTCGATATTCTACCTATCGCCCATTACACAAATCGACGACCCTCTACTACCCATGGCCAAGGATATTGGAGGGGTCATGGTCGCTCTTCCATCGACCCAAACACATGTCGATCCTCCGGTCAAACCTAGCAATCATCTATGCCCTTCACCACCACGACACCAACTTACTACAATTACCGTGGAGTTAGGCATCTCGGTTCGGCTTACCTCTCTCCCAAATACACAAATGCCACTCGACCACCTTTGCTTCCCACACCTATATCTCATCTTGCATCCACCCAAACCAACCCCAAATGGATTCTTGATAGTGGAGCTACACACCATCTCATGGAAGATCTTGATAACCTAGCTATTCATTATGAATACTTGGGACTCGAGGAAGTAACAATAAGCAATGGTAATACCCTCCCTATATCTCACATTGGGTCTTCCTCTTTATCTATGAATAATCATTCATATGCACCGAATCATATTCTTCATGTGCCTTATTCCCGTCAAAACTTACTATATGTCTCTACTTTTACTAGCTCTAACAATGTCTCCTTGGAATTTTATTCTAACTATTTCTTGATTAAGGATATCCACACAAAGACAATCCTCCACAAAGGACTTTTGGATAATGGCCTTTACACCATGCCAATTAAGTCTTCCACTCCATCCATTCCTACTCAAGCTCACTCGTGCAGTATGCTCAAATGGCATGCTTGTCTTGGTCATGCATCCATGTGCACTCGTAGCAAAAGTTTTGACTCATTCTAATAGTTATGTTTCCCATAATAACAAATAAACATTGTGTCATGCTTGCTTGTATTAGCAAAGCACATAAACTTCTATTTTTTGGTTCCACTTCTCGAGCACAAGCTCCTTTAGAAATAATATGTTTTAATTTATGGGGACCATCTCTAATTCCATCTCTACGAGGTCATAAATATTACATCCTATTTTATGATCATTACGATAGAATTCAGCTTGGATCTATTTTCTCAAAAACAAATTTAAAGTCCTTAATTGTTTTATAAATTTTCAACACCTAGCCGAAAAACTTTTCAACATGTCCATCAAAATTTTTCAAGCCAACTAGAGGGTGAATTTCAAAGCCTCACATCTTACTTAGCCACATCCGGCATTGTTCAATGTTTCTCATGCCCTTACACATCGAAAAAAATGATTATGCCGAGCGAAAGCATGGACACATCACCGAAACCGACAAAGCATTACTTCATCATACATCAATATCTTTACACTTTTAGGATCATACCTTTTCCACTATTATCTATTGTGTCAATTATCTCCCATCTATTGTGTCAACTCGTCTCCCAACACCATTACTTGATCATAAATCTCCTCATGAAATTCTTTTGCGGGAAGTTTCGGATTATAACTATTTGTGTGTTTTTGGTTGTCTCTGCTATCCTTGGCTATGCCTATATGCTAAGCATTAATTGGAACCTCGCTCATTTCATTGTGTCTTCCTTAGTTATAGTGTCTTGGATAAAGGGTATAAGTGCTTAGATATTCAATCTAATAAAATTTATATCTCACGTCATGTTATCTTTAATGAATAGGTTTTTCAATTTAAGGATGCCGGTGAAGGTGCTCGACCCATTATCAAAAAATCGACCTCAACATCAATAGCCCCTCCACACATCTCCCTCCAAATCCCTCCACAAATCAGCCTACCTATATATGCCTAGCACACTCCCAAATAAAAAACCAAGTCCTTACCCACGCGACTCAACTCGTACAAACAAGAGCCTTAAATTCCATTACCTAACCCACCCCCACTAACCCACCTACTTTCACTAACCGGGCCACTCCTATTGCTTAACCCTTTAAAAAACCCAATGCCCAATAACACCACAAGCCCACGCCATCAAAACCTACCTCACTTAAACACCCAACCTATCTTTTTCCACAGCCATCACCTTCCCTCAACACAAACACGGACACAACCTCCTCTCCAGGTTTCATTACGGCTACTCGCTACTCCAACTCGTCATCTACGACCACAAGCTCACAAACCTATAATAACCCCTCCGGATCCACCCAACACATAAACCCAACCACCACCCCCTTCTCACCCAATGGTCACCGGCACCAAAACAAGGAAAAATAAGCCCAAAGTCTTCCTTACCTTAATTCCACCTACTTAACCTACCTTCTTTATAGTAGCCAACACCCAACCTTAATGAAGGCAAGCCGTGCATGAGGAAATTGATGCACTCCTCACCATTGGCACATGGGACTCGGTACCTCACTCTCAAGCTCCCAACATCATTAGCCGCAAATGGGTATACCGAATTAAAAGACTTTTCGATGGTTCCATTGATCGATACAAAACTCACTTGGTAGCAAAAGGGTTCCATCAATGTCCGGGTCTAGATTATGCGGAAAATTTTAGTCCAATGATAAAGCTAAGCACAATTCGTCTCATCTTGCCATTAGCAGTAACCAGTGACTAGCACATTGAGCAACTAGACATCTCCAACTCCTTCTTATACGGCAAGTTGGACACTCCGGTTTATATGGAACAGTACGTAAGGATTCATCCACCCTCGGCATCTAGACTTTGTATGTTCTCTTAAAAGGTCTCTCTATGGCCTCAAACAAGCCCTTAGGATGTTGTATGCAAGACTAAGTTCAGCACCTCGTCATATAGGTTTTGTTGGTTCAAAGGTTGATACATCCTTAATGATATACAATCATGGCCCGGACACAATCTACTACCTCATTTATGTAGATGATCTACTGCTAACTAGGAATAATGGCCCTCTCATTAGAAAGCTCATCTCGGATCTTCGACATTAGTTTCTTGTTACATCACTTGGCTATGTGTATTAGTTCCTAGGCTAGAGGTCACTAGAACCAAGGGAGGACTACACCTTTGCCAATCTCGGTATATTCGGGACCTACTAAAAAGGGAAAACATACAAATGCATCACCCATGGTCACGCTTGGCACCTTGCATTCCTCGACCACGACCACCACTACCTTTGAGTATCCAATACTATTTTGGAGTATTGTTGGTAAGCTATAGTATCTAACCCTCACATGGCTAGATGTATCCTTTGTGATCAATCGTGCTACTCGATCTATGCATGCCCCTTCCGAAGAACAATGGGTTTCATTCAAGCGTATCTTATGCTATCTCAAAGGCACTCGCACTCATAGTCTCCTTCCCACCACTTCATCCTCTCATCACATCTCAACATATACTTGATCCGATTAGGGGGTGACATAATAGATCGAAAGAGCATAATGGGATATGCAATCTTTCTTAATAGTAATCTCATCTCTTGGACTTCTCGAAAACAAAGAACAATAGCTTGTTCATATATCGATGCAAAGTACGAGCCTTGGCAACCATAGCTTCGAGGTCACTTGGCTCCGGTCCCTTTTACGTGAAATAGGTTTTCCACTACTAACTACACCAATACTTTGGTGTGATAACCTTTCAACAACCTACCTAATTGCCAATCCGAGTATTTCATAGTCGCTCAAAACACTTGGGGATTGACTTTCATTTTGTCCGGGACAAAGTAAGCAAAAAGGAATTGCAAGTGCATTACATTTCAACCAAAGATCAACTAGCTAACATCCTAACTAAATTCCTTGCCAAACGAAAACATCTACATCAAGTCAACAAGCTGAATGTGCTACATGCAACTCGAGCTTAAGGGAGGATGATAAGGATAAGCCTTAGTTAAGATAAGATTTAGAAGTTGTACCTATTATAATAAACTATTGTAATAAGAACTCTAATGTACAATTGTAGTTATCTTTGTAACTCGAAACTCTATTTAAAGAGTTTGTTGTAGCAAATAATAAAGTGAGACAATTCCTTGCAATTTACTCTTAATTTCTATAATAGTTTGGTTTTCAAATTCCAAATCAAACAATTCTTTTTTCTTTTTAATTTCTTTCGTGTTGAGTGGAACTCCTTACGAGCTAGCACTAGTTAGTTGGTACTTGCAGTCTCAAAAACATGTTTTTAGACTTATATTATAACAACAAAAGTACATTTAATATTGCTAGAAGCCATTGGTGAAGCTGAAACATCTCTCTCTTTTTCTTTTTTTTTTCCTAGTCAACAACACACATATATAGGCTAACATAAAAAAGAAACAAAAATAAAATTCCTCCTTGTCAAATTTCTCCTGCCCAACACATATTACTCTTTTAGGCTCCCATGTGTTGAACAACATTTAGCATTGAATAAATATTTTGGGAATCAAAATTACTCAATGTGATGATAATTATGAGATGCAAAGATAATAGTTAGTGGTCAAGCAAAAGAATTTCAATATGTATATAAGGAAATTAATGCTATCCACTCACTTAGCTAATAATAATAATAAATGACACTTAGCTAATAACAACACAACCAACTCGTTTGAGTTTATTTATTTTCTTACTCCCAATTTTCTCCTAACACACTTCTCTTTTATTTTTACTTCACACGCATATATTCCTAATACAAATCCTAACATCTATTTATATTAGTTGTAAGTCGGTTAATAATCTGACTCAGACAACCAAATAAAACTAAAAATATAATATGTTTAAGAATTGACTTTAGTCAAATGACAACTCATCACAAGATCTTAGCCAACATGGTTAAGGAATTGACTTATCGATTTCTTAACTAAGTGTTTTTCTTTTTCTTTTTTTCCCCCTCCTAGAAAGTTGTAGATTAATCTTCCACTTGCTAGCATTCGATTGGCCAAACCAAGATTACCTTCTAGCAGTTCGGCTCCAAATGCAAGCCATGGTGGTGCCAGGTGCGACATTAAGTTTCCATGTTTGGCCCGGGTCCAAACGTCCGCTTCTACCTGGTGAAGCTCCAGCCCAGACGGTGTATGTGCATTGGTTTACGACATCAAAGGCGGCTGCATTAGTTAAGGTGAATAATAGACCCAAGGGAAAAGAGAAGAGGAAGGATATTGATGCGGCTCGTTTTGGTTTTAACAAGCTTTACGAGCACTTTTGTATTCGCTAGTATTTCTGTGTTCTTAGTACTCATTGTTTGATCAGGTAATTTATAGATGGGGCTGAATCCTGAATTTGTTTAGACTTGTTGAAAGGAAGTTATAGTAGACGACTTTAACAAATTTCCAAAGTTTTTATGGACGAAATTAATAAAGGGAAGAAGAAAAAATGCACAGAGAATCGACTTGAAGGCATAAAATTAAATGTGGCTATTGGAAGACTACCAAACAATAACAAAATTGAAGCCCACAAAAACGTTTTTAACAGACAGGAGATTGAATATGAAATTATTACGTACAATAAAAATTCCTTCTTCACACCCATCGTAGTTTTGCCCAGCAAATGTAATTACAAAAACAAAATTGGCCATTCGTCATTTTCGTTTTACAGCTTCATAGAGGCAAATATTAAGAAAGATCATGCGCGCACATTCTCACGTACATAAATTAAAATATTCAATCAATAAAAAATATAATATATTGATTGAAATTCATATGATAGAACATACATATAATATATGTTCTCACATATATTGATTGAAATTCATGTCATAGAACAAATATTAAGAAGGATCATGCGCGCGCACATTCTCACATATATAATCAAAATATTCAATCAATAAAAAGATATAATATATTGATTGAAATTCATGTAACAGAACATATAATATATGGTGCACATCACTACATGTGCTTAAGAAGCCTTTAAGCTCTCTTATTCTCTCTTATTCTACACAGCTACATATAGGTATGCAATGCTTTTATGACACTTGATCAATGACTTTCTAGGTTCCGGGACAGAATATGACCTTATAGTTAGTCCCGGTGGGGCAAGTAAACAAGCTTGTGGGATCATCCTTAGGGTAACTATAAGCATCTGGGCACCTATCCTTGAAAAACTTTGAGAAGTTGGTAGGACCACATTTGCCTGAATTGCAACAATACTCATCAGTGTTGAACACAGGACATGGTCCATTGCACCCTCCAGGGACCTTCAATTCATTAGGGCACTGTCCAACGATGTCTGCTGTGCATTTGATCACACGGCTACAACCTGCAGAGGCCGAGCTGAATTCCATAGGAACATTAAATCCGTCGATGTTAGAGATATCAATGAAATCTTGGTTTGCGTATTGGCCAATTGAGTATTCGGCTAGGGTGTTCGGGGATTGACCATAGGCTTGGCATGCTAGGAGCCCATTGCAGTCACCAGTCTGGCACTTCCCCTTCCCAGCACCATCAAATTGGCACTTAGTTCGAGCCCAAATGCGCGCTCGTACGGTGCCAGGGGCAGCACTAATGGTCCATGTCTCACCAGTATTAAGTTGTCTGCCACCACCAGGCACAGCTGCAGCCCATACCGTGTCAGTACATCTGTTTGTTATGTCAAAGGTAGCTGCATGGGCAAAGGGGAAACAAAGGGCGACGAAAAGGAAGGAAAGAATTGAGAGTGTTTTAAGGGAACTCATTTTGGATTTTGAGTTAAAGGCTAGCTAGTTCTATATGGATTGTTGTTTTTGTGGCAGTGTGGGGGTTATGAGAAGGTGCAGATGGATTTATATAGCATGCAATAGGGTTAGTTATGGTCATTTTCCATACTTTAGTGTGATTGCGTGATTAATTTTAGTTTGTTGGCAAAAATTCGGGGATGATGTTGATGGGTATGCTTAGGCTTGACTTGAAGAATACAAGTCAAGCAACGAAGTTGTATATACATGCCGTGTGACTCAATCCATCAACCAAGGTATTTGAGGGTACTGAATTACCACTCAAATTCTTTTTTCTCTCTCTCTTTTTTTTTTTTTTTTATAAGAATATGGTGTTGTTTTAGAACAAGTAGCTTGTACATGATTAAAAACAAAAACGAAGAATAAACTAGCTTGTACATCTAAACATTATTGAAAGCTAGTTGTACAGTAAAAAAATAGTTAAAAACTTGTTGCGAGTTGATAAATATATGAAAAATATCATACAAATAGAAAACTAAACAGATAAATAACTTATTATTATTATTATTATTATATTAACAAATATGATAACCACAACACTACTATAAGAGGAGCGTTCAAAACTCCATAACATGTTCATCATATCTCGTCATATATATATATATATATTATCATGAATAAATTAATAATTAACTTGCTTGTTTGCAAAGTCATGTGGTTTTTAATTATTTATATTTATTGATACTGAGTCTAACCAAATTATTGAAATGCTTCGATTTAATGAGACTCATTATAATATCAATGGGACTTTAACTCCACTGGTAGCAATAATTCTAGTTTGAGGAGAGGTAACGGGTCGATTCTCCAAAAAGGAGTCATCCTGAATTCCTAAGGAAAAAAAAAAAAACGAGATTCATTAACTGTATTGTCATGCGTCAACGGTCCAAAATTAGGTGAATTAATTGCCATTAAATCAATTTTATGAAGACCAAAAGAATTCAAAGAGATGAATAAAATGAGATATGTATCAAGCTGAAAATATTATAGAGACCAATACTTTTTTTTTTTTTTTTGGTGATACTATTACTTAAATGATATGGATATTTTCTTTTTAATTAATATTTGGAAAATGAACATGCACATATAATCAAAATGATTAATTTGCTCCTTGTTTTTTAATATCTTTTTTCTAGCTGCCTGGGTCTTGACGTATCTATCAAAAAGAAAACTTCCGATCATGACACAACTATCTATGTGGAAAATCTGGTAAATTTGGTCTAGCCGTCTCGCCTTCTTCTGCGCAGAAAATTCTTCAAGGGCTGCAAATATTACGCGGCGAGAATAAAGGGTGCCAAATCAGCTAATGAAGCTATTTTTATAAGAATATTTATGTCGGTACTGCCAAATCTTTACTTATTCTAGATCGTGAATGGAATAGAGACAGGAAAGAAAAGTCTACACCAAAAATATTAGGACGGACGGATAATTCCAGCATCACAATGACTTGACTTTCTGGTGCACTACCGGTCTGCGAAATTTTTTACTCATCAAATGAGTTACGTATATATGGTCTGCCGTGATGGAATAAGCTGCGTAATTAATGATCAGCTTCAGGGTTTGATGTCTTCTAATTAGAGAAAAATATGTGTTCTTCATTATATCCAGGGAAGGTTGCACTATTAATTTCTAGAAATGGTGCCTGTTTATAACGAGATTTATGATAATCTAGTCAGTTTAAAACTATTCCGTTGAATTGAGGGTTTTCTGTTTCCTGCTAAAGGATTTTTTTTTTCCTGTTCCTGTTTTAATGGGTTATCGTATCCATCACTAGAATTAATTAGTTCCTTCAAAATCATTGCAGTATTATATACGCATGCAAATTATTGTATTGAACATGCAAATGCAAATTTTATATATATATATTGGACTTTTCTAAATTCAAATTCAAAATAAGATAAACTCATTTGCCATCCAAACTAATCACCAATAACTTATTCTAGATCGTGAATGGAATAGAGACAGGAAAGAAAAGTCTACACCAAAAATATTAGGACGGACGGATAATTCCAGCATCACAATGACTTGACTTTCTGGTGCACTACCGGTCTGCGAAATTTTTTACTCATCAAATGAGTTACGTATATATGGTCTGCCGTGATGGAATAAGCTGCGTAATTAATGATCAGCTTCAGGGTTTGATGTCTTCTAATTAGAGAAAAATATGTGTTCTTCATTATATCCAGGGAAGGTTGCACTATTAATTTCTAGAAATGGTGCCTGTTTATAACGAGATTTATGATAATCTAGTCAGTTTAAAACTATTCCGTTGAATTGAGGGTTTTCTGTTTCCTGCTAAAGGATTTTTTTTTTCCTGTTCCTGTTTTAATGGGTTATCGTATCCATCACTAGAATTAATTAGTTCCTTCAAAATCATTGCAGTATTATATACGCATGCAAATTATTGTATTGAACATGCAAATGCAAATTATATATATATATATTGGACTTTTCTAAATTCAAATTCAAAATAAGATAAACTCATTTGCCATCCAAACTAATCACCAATAACTTATTCTAGATCGTGAATGGAATAGAGACAGGAAAGAAAAGTCTACACCAAAAATATTAGGACGGACGGATAATTCCAGCATCACAATGACTTGACTTTCTGGTGCACTACCGGTCTGCGAAATTTTTTACTCATCAAATGAGTTACGTATATATGGTCTGCCGTGATGGAATAAGCTGCGTAATTAATGATCAGCTTCAGGGTTTGATGTCTTCTAATTAGAGAAAAATATGTGTTCTTCATTATATCCAGGGAAGGTTGCACTATTAATTTCTAGAAATGGTGCCTGTTTATAACGAGATTTATGATAATCTAGTCAGTTTAAAACTATTCCGTTGAATTGAGGGTTTTCTGTTTCCTGCTAAAGGATTTTTTTTTCCTGTTCCTGTTTTAATGGGTTATCGTATCCATCACTAGAATTAATTAGTTCCTTCAAAATCATTGCAGTATTATATACGCATGCAAATTATTGTATTGAACATGCAAATGCAAATTTTATATATATATATTGGACTTTTCTAAATTCAAATTCAAAATAAGATAAACTCATTTGCCATCCAAACTAATCACCAATAACTTATTCTAGATCGTGAATGGAATAGAGACAGGAAAGAAAAGTCTACACCAAAAATATTAGGACGGACGGATAATTCCAGCATCACAATGACTTGACTTTCTGGTGCACTACCGGTCTGCGAAATTTTTTACTCATCAAATGAGTTACGTATATATGGTCTGCCGTGATGGAATAAGCTGCGTAATTAATGATCAGCTTCAGGGTTTGATGTCTTCTAATTAGAGAAAAATATGTGTTCTTCATTATATCCAGGGAAGGTTGCACTATTAATTTCTAGAAATGGTGCCTGTTTATAACGAGATTTATGATAATCTAGTCAGTTTAAAACTATTCCGTTGAATTGAGGGTTTTCTGTTTCCTGCTAAAGGATTTTTTTTTTCCTGTTCCTGTTTTAATGGGTTATCGTATCCATCACTA